TATCTTGAAATAAAAAATTAATTGAAAAAACAATAATATTAGGGTAAATTTTAAAGTGAAAATTCCTAACCAATATCATATACTTTAGGGATTGTCTCAAGTTAGTCTCTAAACTTCAAAACGTGCTATTGCAGTATCTTAAACTTTCAAACTGTTAGTTATCTCTACTACTTGATGACATGTGCCACTTAACTTTTTAAAATGTCAAAAGGACCCTTCAAAAGAAGACATTGTTCATTGTATTTTGAACTAGTTGTTTCTACAATTTTCTAATCCAACATCCCTGTCTATTTGGAAAGCCAGTGGCAATGAGTTGTTGACTCCAATGCAGCCTTTGAATTTCGCACAACGAGAGCTGATGGAGGGTGGTTTGACCCGACCTCCTAACCAGGTGACACGTGGACATGACTCAGTGTAAGTGACAGCTCAGCATGACAGCTTGGCCAAAACTCGGTGTAATGAGCTCGCTGAAACCCCAGTACAATAACTCTGCAAGACAGCTCGCTACAGCTCAAGGCAGCTCGCTACAGCTCAAGGCAGCTCGCTATTGGAGCTCACTATAAAGGAGTTCGCTACAAGGGAGATCGCTACAAAGGAGCTCGCTATTGAATAACTCGGAGCCTTCGGGAAACTCCCAACCCAACAAGACCGCGCTTGTCAGACTGCTCCCACGTCTCTTGTCTGACGGCGCAACACCTGCCAGTCCAGAGGATTGCACCCACGTCTCACGACTAGCGGCGTGGTACACGCCGGCTCTGCATAACGTCTCTCAACTGACAGGACCATACACTGCGACGGATACCTGCCCCAATCGAATCAGCTTGGCGAATAAAGGCTGTAGCAGAGGATCAAAGGCGGTTACACCCAATTTGACAGAACATCAATATATAAAGGTCCCGATCCCCAAGGGACAAGGTAACTTGAACAAGGTGATTTCGCTCTATCTGCACTCTTAGCTCTCTTACTATTCTCTGTAGTTCTATTTCAGAGTTCTAACTTAAGCATCGGAGTGTTCCTACCGGGCAAACTCCCCGAGAATCCTTCATTGTCTTCTCCATCTCAGGTACTGTCCGCTGCCAGCTAGGAGCCAGGCCACCGCCAGGTAGGAGTGACCAGATCGTGCTACATCATTTGGTGCGTTCTGTGGGAATGCTTCAAAAAGCCTTCCACCAAAACTTTGCAAACTTTGGTTCTCATGGCTTCCTCCAGCAACGCAGCACGTAGTGCAGAAATGAACACCGTCGGGGGGCAACTCCAGGTCTCAGCGGTGTGTATTGGATAGTTCACCATCCCCCTCTCTGCGGATGGAGTTCCCATCCTGAACGTGCCTTAGACAATGGCACCCGTGAACGCTCCACTCCCTTCCATGGTTGGAACGACCTTCACTGAACCCTCTCTTGTTCCTCCCGTGGTCTCTCAAAATCAGTTTGAAGACCTAGTGCAATGCATGCGAGCCATGCAAGCTCAGATGCAACAGGTCCAGTAGTTCCAACTATATCAGCAGCAAGTGCTACACCAAGTTTCTCAGCATCACTATCAGCAGCAGTTTCCTCTGCTACCTCAGACCTAGCAGCTGCTTTCTCCTAGACATCTGGCCGCTCAACAAGTTTGGCCTCACTGCCAGAACGAGCGTCCTCGCCGGGGAGAGACCTCTCAGACCCAGAATCCTCTCAAGAGTCAAGTCTCATCCCACGGGAGGAAGGAAAGACCTATTACCCCTGCCTTGCTGCGCGCAGTCAGGTCAGGAGGGTCCCAGCCTACCAGGCCCGCATCACCTCAGCTTTCTAAGTTCATGGCCCCGCTTGTGGAGAATTAGTTTGAATTCTTGGCCGCAGACTCCAGGCAAGATCCCTCTATCCGCAGCCATTACCAGCAGTCCATCCCCCTCCCTGCGAAAATTGTGCCTGACAAAACCGAGGTCAGAAGCACCAATGCGGAGCCCGCAAAGAAGCAGTGGAGACGTCATCGTGCTCGACGAATTGCAACACACAACCTGCCCGAGCTCAAGGGTAAGGAAGAGGTAAGCTCGGGCGAGGTGAAAGCTACTCCACTCCTCTCTGTACCATCCCCTCTGTCTCCAGAACTCTTGGCCGTCCCGATGCCTAAGGACTTCAAACTGC